TATCTCCTTGAAGACTAAGGTACGCCTGACACAAGCCGTGGTATTTTCAATCACCTCATATGCATGTGCGAGCTGAACAATGAATAAGGAAGACTGAAGAAAAGTCAGTGCTTTTGAGTTGTGGTGTTGGTGAAGAATACTGAAAGTCCTATGGACTGCTAAAAGAACTAACAAATCTGTCCTGGAAGAAGTACAGCCAGACTGCTCTTTAGAAGCATTCATCTTACCTACTTTGGTCATGTTGTGAAGGGACCATTCCCTGGAGAAGGATTTCATGCTTAGTAAAGTGGAGAGTCAACAAAAAAGGTGAAGGCCCTCAACAAGATGGATTGACATAGTGGCTACAACAACGGGCTCAAGTATAGCAAGGATCATGGGGCTGGCACAAGACCAGGCAGTGTTTTTCTCTGTTATACCTAGGGTCACCATGAGTCAGAGACGTCTCAACAGCACCTAGCAACAACAACAGCAACAACATGGAATCTTTTTTTTTTTTTTAAGAACTGAGTATGTGTTAGATTCTTCACAGATCATATCTTGTTTTTCAAAACAATCCTAAAAGGAAATAAAATATCAAGATATTATTATATTAAATTCCTAAACATATACAGTAGGAACATCTATGTCTGATTTTAAAGAGACTGTTTTATACCTCTATCCAAAAACATTCACTTACCTTTGAACTTGAAGTACCTTGCTCATCCATTTGCTACTGAACTACACCTGACCTTGTGATGTCTGTTCAAGATGTGAATAATCTTAAAGGCATGTTTTCTGACAAAACACATGAAATACACAGCAAACTAAGGTGAAATGTCACACCCTTAAGGGGTCTCTAGGGGGAACAACAAAAAAAGGAAGAAGCCATTTAACTATTTTTTTTTTGAATATCTCTAACTCAAATATTTTATGGAGTGTGTGCATGTATGTGTGCATGTGTGTATGTGGTGTGAATAATGCAAAGGCAGGTGGAAGTCTCAAGCCCCAAAATAAATATTTCAGTTTAGAACATTTAAGTGATTTGGGATTTTATTTCAGTCATGTAAGTTATAAACCAAAATAAATATATTGATAGCTCTGGTGGTGAATGAAGTGCCTAAGTGCCTAAGACTGCTAACCAGAAGGCTGGTGGTTCAAACCCACCAGCCACTCTTCAGAACGAAGATTTGGGCAATCTACTTCCATAGTGATACCCCTTCGGAAACCCAGGGAGGGGGTCACTATGTGTTGGATCTGACTCAGTGGCAAAAACAACAACAATAACAACAACAACATGCTGCCAGAGCTGCCAAATTATGAATCAAATATATTGTTATCACTGTGCCTTGTTTATCCTAACATAGTAAAATATGATCAATGCATTCTTAGTGTATTTTAACTCATGATTGTTCTAGTGTTTGGAGTAACTAATAAGGAATAGTTAGAAATGATTGATATCATGAAGGTGAGGAATCTATGGGGTATATAATTTACTTGAATAGGTAATTAAGGGATTAAGAATAGAAACATAGGTGACATGTCCTTCTCAGTGATGCTCAGGGGATGAAGCTGAAAACTTTGGACAATAAAAATGATTCCTCACCTTCAAGCCTGTTCGGTGTCACCTACAGGACTGTTTATTGTTCCTGTGCAGAAACCCTAGCATTCAAAATCACTTTTCAATCTGACTTTTTTGCTTCCAGCCTAAATTAAGAGATTTGTGTCTCAGTATACAGATAAGACAATAAGAATGAGGCAGAGTAAAATGTGCTAAGTAATTATGTAGAAATTAGATTTTTGTCTGTTTAACTAGCATTAAATCTAATGAAATGCCTGGAAAGATTTTGACCAGGAAAGAAAATTGGAATGCTCTGACATATATTATGAACTATGTAGTGTATATGAGTTCACTGCAGAGAATTCTAAAAGTATCTACACAAGAGAAGTATCCACTGTGCAAAGTAGCTAAGAGATTCAAGTAACTGGCTGTTTGGAGAGATAGGTCAGACATGCTAACAACTTTGGACAGGGAAAATGGTGCTGGAAATAAAAAAAATCCCGAATTAAAAGTCACAGTGTGGATCCTCTGAATTGTAGGCATTGCTTTGCAATCAAACTTCTCTAGGGTGCAACTCTGGGTAGCCTACTTTGTGCTGAAAGATGCAGCATATGTGTTTACTTATTTATTTAAAGATAATTAATGACTCCCATTAGCAAACCTGGAGTTGCTTTTTACCACAAATATACACTTTGTGTTAATATAGAATAAACTACTATTCTAGTAATAATATCCCATGTTTATAATAGTGTTTTGAAATTGAAGGCCAGGGCAGGGAAAGATGTTATTTTAAAAGTTGACTACAGCCTGAGTCAGCTGAAGAGGGTGGGAACGTTTCATTGTTAATAGAACACCGATCTTTTATTTAGGGAAAACATACATAATTAGCATGTTTGAAAAGAAGGGCAAGACCCATCCCTATGCCTACTCCCTGGATACAGAGAAGACTAGAGATGGAGATGGGCTGGAAATGAAAGGCGGCTAGAAAAATACAGGCAATCATTCTTGTGATGGGATTACCAATAATTTTAGGACAGTGGATGCTTGTTCAATCTTATAAGATTCTTAACTGTGCTATAATCCTTTTTGCTATTTCTTTTATTACTGTTTTTGTGAGAATGACAGGAAGGAATACAATTGAGTAATAATAAGAGCAGGCACCAGAGTATCTCACAATTGGGATAATTTTAGGAGCAGGAATTCAGAGATAGATATAAACAAAACCACCCTCAGGAATTCTCTAAATATGTGGGGAGGGTCTAGATGTTCCACTGTATGTAGAATGGGGCTCCAGCCTTTTTACTTGAATATTGAAGGATGTTGTTGTTGTTATGTTCCGTTGTGTCAGACCTGACTCATAGCAACCCCTCCTTGGGTTTCTGAGGCGGTATCACTACAGAGTAGATTGCCCAACCTTCCTTCCAAGAAGTAGCTAGTGGGTTTGAACCAGTAGCCTTCTGGTTAGCAGTCAAGTACCTTAGGCACTATGCTACCAGAGCTCCTATTGAAAGATATTAACTGTTAAGAGCTATCTAGGGGATAGATGCATTAACTATAGAAATATAATAACTTATTTTCAATAACTATCACATTGTAACTCCTAATACAAAATTAATGTTTAGGTAAAACAGAAAATACAAAAATCATGTACTTAAACCTGTATGCCTGCATTCACTTAAAATATTAATTTAATTATGATTGACTGAAAGATATACTAATTCTTCAAATGTGATTGGCTGAATTTAACAAATCAACATATGGACTTTATATGTTTCCTATTGTCACATATAAGGAGATTTGGTGGCATAGTGTCTAAGGCATTTGACTGCTAGCCAGAAGGTTGGCAGTTCAAACACACCAGCCACTCCTCAAAAGGAAGACTGGGCAACCTGCTTCCTTAAAGATTTATTTCCTTGGAAACCTAAAGGCAGTGGCTATGAGTTGGAATCTACTCAATGGCAGTGAGTTCAGTTTGTTTTTTGGTATTGTCACATGTTTTATAAAAATGTATTTAGTGATATAATCAGTAATATTACAGGTCTGGTGGCATAGTGGGTAAGAAATTTGGCTGCTAACTAGAAGGTCAGCAGTTCAAACCTATCAGCTGCACCATGAGAGGAAGATGATGCAATCTACTTCTGTAAAGATTTATAGCCTCTGAAACCCAATAGGGTGGCTATGAGTCAGAACTGACTCGATGGCAGTGGGTTTGGTTTTTATTGGTTATGTATTCCAAACTAAATAGCTTTCTTTTTCACAGTGTAGAGCTGAGAATTTGGATTCCACATGGAACAATTTTATTTGATGAAAATTTGATAATGAATTAATAATATGCTTGACAAGCTTCTTTTGAATTGTTGTAGTCATGTAGGCCATGTCAATCACTGCACAGGGGATATTGTTGCACTATCAAAACAACAACAACAACAACCAAAAAAAACACCTACCAAATTATTCTAAATAGAAAATTTTACTACATATGTATCACAGGATGGTAAGGCAACCCTGTATGATATGTTTAATACTTTACATAGTATGAAATCTCTTTTTGTGTGTGCAATTCAAAAGTTGCATGGACAGATGAATTCAATGAAGAATCTCTATATTAGCAATGCAGTAAACTAGATGTGTAATCATAACATATAACATCTCAAGATCTTTAAAGTAGTTCTGTAGGTTGATTTAAAATTCAACCCTCAGGCTGTGTTCAATGTATTCTGCTGTATTTATATATTCACCATGTGGAGACAATATCTAAGAACATATTTTATATTAGATTTTTGTTTCTTAATATTAAGGGTGGGGAGATGAAGGAAGGGAACAATGTCATTTGGGACTTTTTCTATACAGATTCTTCAATTTTGATTTGTGAATAGTGATTCAATCATAGATCAGGATCTTTGTTCTTTTAACTTTTCCATTGTCAATATCACAATATTTCAGAAAACAGATTATTTGAAACAGAAAATTAATTTTCCTGGGTGCGGGGGGACAGTGAACATGATGCAGATATTTCTTTTCTAAAGTATTTGTAAGTTTAGGTATATGAATCATTTGCATAAATATCCTAGTCTGGGATACAGTATTGATTTGAATATGTTTACATCAACCTTGCCTCTTGAAACCTAGCAGAGGAATATTCAAGGCCCTTCAAAATATAGGACAACTAAACTCATTAAGCTAAAGGTTACATGTTCATATCTCAGTGTTGTGCATATGTATAAAGTAAAAAGGTCGATCTTGCATATCTCAGTAGTACTAATACAGCATTAAACAAATAAAAAAAATTAACTTGAAAACAGGCTGAAAGGTTAAAAGGGGGCAAACAATCTGAAATATTTGAGCCACATCGTTGACTATTACACTAGAATAATACTTTGAGTTTTGTATATAAAATGGAAAATGTTAGCAATTCTTTTAGGTAATCTTTTGGCCAAAATTATGAAAAAATATTTGCAGATACCTTTCAAATGTAATTTTTATAGAGTGCCCAGGCTCAGCTTCAATCACCCACTCACAATTCAAGGAGTCTTTATAGTACCCTGGCCATCCTGGTGAGAGAATCACTCCACTTGGAGCTGAAAAATGGCCACCACATGGAGCTGAAAAACGAAATCAGACAGCAAGTGAGGATGGAGCTTTTCAAACACATTGCAGAAATTATTCTCACTAACAACTATAAATGTCTATAAAAGTAATCCTCTTTTTAGTAAATGCTAGTTAATATAATTTTTGCAAGTAAGAGTATTTCTAGTCAATTACTTGTTATTAAACAATACTTTTCCTCAACGGTAAAGGTAATTTATTTTTTGAAATTGTAGATATATTATTACACAGCTACCCTTAGCATGTCAGATAATAAACTGATCACCATGAGCTCTCCAAATAATATTCTTAACAATGTCTTTGTTTTTATATGTTATTATCCTTATTTCCACCTGCAAGTCTTGAAAAAATTAGATCTTGTTAGTGTTGGTTTCTATCTTTGAATTTCTGATTTAAGAAATCTGACTAATGCATTCTTCACACTGCCTAAAAATTTCAATTTCCTTTTTCCAGAGTCTCTATTATAGTTTAAATCTTCATTGAATCATTCCTTTACCATATTTCCAGTCTGCTGATTTCTCTCTTGCTTCAGTCCAGCTGTCAGAATAGCATCATTCAAATTAGTGTCTCATCATATGAACTCCTTTCTAGACAGTTCAGAGAGAGCAACTTGCTAGAACTTACAAAACTTGAATGTATCAAAAACACTTTCATCCAACTTTTGCAAAACAGAACCTAAAAACGTCCTCTCTCATTATGCCATATGTTGTTAAACAAAACCACTCAGTTGCAACCATTCAGTTTCATTCACCAGAAAGTAGGTGTCTTTGGTATTTTCATTATCTATACCACTCTGGTAGCATAGTGGCTAAAGCACTTGACTGCTAACCAGAAGGCGGGCGGTTCAAACCCACCAGCCACTCCTCGGAAGGAAGATGGGGCAATCTACTTCCATGGTGATACTGCCTCGGAAACCCAAGGAGGGGTCGCTATGAGTCGGGTCCGACTCCACGGCACATAACAACAACAACATACCACTTTTACTCTCATATCTAACCCACCTTCAAATACATTCTCATTTCCCTATCTCCTTGGCTGCCATCGTACCAAGTTAATTTTATTTATCTTATTAAATAAAATTTTACTGTTAACTTAAATGACCATAACTTACAATCGCACTCCCTCGAGTATAGAAACAGCCCCCTGATGTGTTCCTACATCTATACCAACCTTTTGCTCCTCTAACTTCCAGACATCATTTTAAACCACAGATCTGCTTCTTTCCATGACGAATGAGGCCTTCAAAGATTTAGCTGTTACCTACTATCTAGACTAGACTGAAATTTTCACTTTCACTCAGCTGCTCAGCTACATTGGCCTGCTATATACTTACAGGAAATGTACACATACACATAAATACAATCAAATAAAGAATATCTGAGATATTTAAAATATGAAGAAAGACAAAAATGATCCAATATGATGTACTCTAACAAATTTTCAACACACTTGAAACATTTCCAATGACTTACAACTTACTAATTTTAATGTCTTTAAATATCTCTATTTAAATTCTATTCAATTTGTTTATATTTTCCTATTTAATTGTATCTTTCTATTAATTTAACATAATTTCTGGATGTTTTTTGCTCCAGACACTATTTTTACTCTTTTTAAGTCTTCAAGTAACTTGAATCACTCAGATAAAAAAAAAAAAAAAAAAAATTAGTAATTGGTCTAGGAGTTAAGCATACTATAACAGGTTCAATTGAGTAAAATATTTTCTATGTTAAATTGCCAGAATTAGTTATTTGTATTAGATGTAACCTTCATGCAAAAATAAATTTTCTTCCTTTAGAGAATTTAATTTTGTTTCCTAAAAAGCTTTCAAAGGAGACCATTCAAAGGAGACTGTGACGATTATTTACTCTTCTTAGTTATGATGATTCATAACTGAGTTTCTGCGTAGTTATTATGTATCTCTAAAATAAAATGATCTGCTCTAAGCACTTACATTAGCATATTTTAAAAGACAGAGCTAAGTACTTTAGTGAGAGAAGGCTCTGGCTATATGAAGAGTTCCTGACAAAAGTCCTTAACATATCATCAATTTATACTATTCCAGGAAAAGTTTTCGTGCACTTTAGCGTAATCATCATTAGAGAGGGTAATAAATCATGAAGTTAAGAGTTCATTAATGGGTCACAAAAGATTGAAAAGTAGGTACTGAGAGTTATTTTGACTGGTCCTTCAATCCAAAGAGTAAGGGAGGCAGAGTTAGGAAAAGCTTTCATGTGAAACAGTAACATAGAGATGTGGATGCTCTCTGGTTCCTGAGAGAACTTTCCAGAATAGTGGTCCTGGTAAAAATAATTTTCTTTTATTTAATTTATGACATTTCCTGAAGTAAACTCTTTCAAGGTTGGTATTCTCTAAAATTGTTATTCCAGAAGTATGGGAACAGACCCCCATCGGCATTGAAGCCTCAAAGGGGAAATACATAGTACAAATCAGGCAGAAAAAGACTCATTGTCAAAGTCTGACAGGCATATGACAGGAAGATGTGCATATGGAGAAGGCATAATGCAGCAACAGCAGCAGATCATGGTGTTGATAAAATGCAGGAAAAGAGAAGGGGAGACCAAATGTAGAGAAAATTGCAAGAGAAAGAAAAACAACAGCTGTAGAAATCTGCCCATAGCAGAAAGCAATATATATAGATATAGATATAGATATAGATATATTTAAAATGAATGAGTTTTGTAAAAAATAAAAAGAAAAGAACTAATAACAACATCAATATGGTATTTGGGACAACAATTACTAGGTTTGGAATAATAATAATAAAAAAAAAATAATAATGAATATTTAAATTAGTAGATAGAAATCCAGCTGTAATATGAATAACAAATCAAACAAAAAGGCAAGGATATAGTATCCAAATCTTACAATTTTGTCATATATATGTACTGCATATTTTATTTAATAATATTTTTTAAAGACTCATTTTTAACTTAAAAACTACTCTAGACTTATTCTAAGCAAAAATACTAGTTCATACATAGTTTTTATGTTCTAGTTATATTTTTCTTAAATTTCTGAAAATAAATATGTGCTTCTTATTGAAATTTAAGAAATGTTTATACACTTATTACTTAGAATTACCTGTGTACCCTAGTATTAAAGTTCTATACTTTAGGAAATACTGCTCTAAAAAAGAGCAACTGGCTGAATAAGAAAAACTTGGTATATATAGAATCCAGAAATGAGATCAAGACCATAAAAATATTTTCAAAGTCCCATGCATTCATGTACCCATTCATGAATTAACTCATTAATACATTTGATTGTTTTATTATTCAATATACTCCCATTGTGTGTCATGTATGTTCCATGGAGGCATTTTGTACTACTTCTACTAATTCTACTAATCAATACAGAAGACACTAGTCTTCTGTATTGATTAATTACTGGTGATTGGAATGGGAAAGTTGGAACATATGTCCTTGGTGACAGAAATTACATTGGAGATCACATGATAGGATTTTGCAAGACCAGTGACTTATTCATTGGAAATACCTTTTTACAAGAACAAAAGGGTGAATATACATGTGGACATCACCACAAATTGACTGTGTGGAAAAAGGAGCTGAGAGTGGAACAGACCATCAATTCCTCATAGGCCAGTTCAAGATGAAGCTAAAGAAAATTAAAACAAGTCCGTGAGAGCCAAAGTATGATCATAACTATATCCCACCTGAATGTAGAGACTATCTGAAAAATAGATTTGATGCACTGAACAATAATGACTGAAGACGGAATGAGTTGCAGGATAACATCAGAAACATAATACCTAAAGGAAGCAAAAGGTCACTAAAAAGACAGAAATGGAATAAAAGACCAAAATGGATGTCAGAAGAGACTCTGAAACCTGCTGGTGAAAGGAGAGTAGCTAATGCCAACAGAAGAAATGATGAAGTAAAAGAGCTGAACAGAACATTTCAAAGGGTGGCTCAAGAAGACAGAGTAAACTATTATAAAGAAAAGTTCAGACCTGAAATTAGAAAACCAAAAAGGTTGTCTAATGCTCTGCATTTCTCAAGCTGAAAGAACTGAAGAAAAAATTCAAGCCTCAAATTGAGATGTTGAAGGATTCCATGGGCAAAATATTGAACAATGCAGGAAGCTTCCTTCACAAGAAGATGAAAGGAATACAAAGAGTCTCTATACTAAAAATAATTTGTCCACATTCAAGCATATCAGGAGGTAGCATATCATCAAGAATGGATGGTATTTAAGGAAGAAGGCCATGTTTCACTGAAGGAACTGGTGAAAAACAATGCTCTAGGAATTGACAGAATACCCAGTGATATTTTTGAATAAATGGAGCAGTGCTGGAGACGGGAATTTGGATGACAGTTATTTGACCTGACTGGAAGAGATCCATATTTGTGCCCATTTCAAAGAAAGGCGATCCATCAGCACATGGAAATTATTGAGCGATATAATTTATATCACATGCATGTAAAATTTTGCTGAATGTAATTCAAATATTGTTGCAACCGTATAATAATAGGGAACTACTAGAAACACAAGCTGGATTCAGAAGAGGATGTGGAACGAGGGATATCATAGCTGATGTCAGATGACTCTTGGCTAAAAGCAAAGGATACCAGAAAGATGCCTATCTGCATTTTATTGACGATGCAAAGGCATTTGATTGTGTGGATCATAACAAATTATGGATAATATTATGAAGGATAGAAATTTCAGACACTTAAATCTGCTCATGAGGAACCTTAACATAGATGAAGAGGCAATTGTTTGACCAGAAAAAGGGGATATTTTGTAGTTTAAAATCAGAAAGTTGTCAGGGTTATAAACTTTCACCATACTTATTCAATCTGCATGCTGCAATTCATCCCAGAAACTGGGCTATTTGAAGAAGAACATGACAGCAGGGTAGGAGGAAGACTCACCAACAACCTGGGATACACAGATGACACAGCCTTGCTTGCTGAAAATGAAGATGACTTGAAGCACTTATTGATGAAGA